TGTGCCTTCTAAATTAGTTACTTCCGCTCCATATGAGTTATGGACAAGCAAAAAGCCTAATTTAAGCTTTCTAAAACTTTGGGAGTTGTGCTGCCTATACTCATGAGCCCTCTCACCAATATGGAAAATTGGGCCCAAGAGGCAAAAATAGTATTTTCTTAAGATACTCAGAACACTCAAAAAGGTATGTGTACATAGGTGAGCAAGAAAGCGGAAATATAACTGAAATCGAATCACAGGATGTCACATTCTTAGAGAATGAATTTCCTAAAAAAGGTGAAATAGGTGGAGATTACTCACTATACAAATCTATGGATCATGATAGTGAAGTTAGCGGGAGCATTGTGACAAGTGGGGAGTTGAGTGCAAACCGATCTCAATTGCAACCACTTGATGAGATAATACCACCATTATCTAATCCAAATGGGAGTGCAGTGGAGCGTAGTGAATCATCAGGGGTACAGCCTCCCATACGACAATGAAGTCGTAAAAGCGTTCCCCGTCGACGTTTTGACATCAAAGGAGAAGATTTCATGATCACTCCACAGGATGAAGATGAGCCGAAGAATGTGAATGAGGCTCTAATATGCCCCGATAAGGGAAAATGGATGCGTGCGATGGAAGAAGAAATGGAGTCATTGAGATCAAACCAAGTTTGAGAATGGGTTGATCTTCCAAAAGGACGCAAAGCATTGGGAACAAGTGGATTCTCAAAATAAAGCGTAAGGCGGATGGCTCAGTTGAGAGGTAAGAATATAATCAACAAGAAGGAATTGACTTTAAAGAAACTTTTTCTCATGTGGTTAGATTTACCTCTATTCGTCTGATTCTGGCAATAGTAACTAGTACGGATCCTAAATTATATCAAATGGATGTAAAGACTGCATTTCTCAATGGAGAATTAGAGGAAGAATTTATTTGGAATAACCTATTGGTTTCATTACAAAAGGCCAAGAGCAAAAGGTGTGCTGACTATTGAGGTCGATTTATGACATTAAGCAGTCTTCGAGACAATGGTATATACGTTTTCACAATACTATAATGGCATATGATTTTGTAATGATTAGTTAAGACAATTGTGTATATATCAAAAGATCAAAAGATCAATTTGTGATCTTATCATTATATGTTGATGATATACTAATTGCCGGAAGCAGTATGAAATTTGTTAATACAGTCAAGAATTGGTTATTTTCCAATTTTGAGATGAAAGATATGGGTGAAGCTGCATACATTCTTGGAGTTAAGATTTCAAGAGATCGTTCAAAGAAATATTTATCCATTTTCCCAATAGACGAATATGAATAAAATCCTTGAGCAATTTCGCGTGCAAGACTGTAAACTAATAGGTACTTCTATTGTAAAAGGCGAAACATTGAGCGACAGAATGTGTCCTAAAAGTCCATAAGAAAAGGAGCAAATGGAACATGTTCCATATGCCAGTTCTGTTGAAAGTTTGATGTGCGCTATGATGTGTATAACACCTGATATTTATTATGTAGTTGAAATGGTAAGTAGATATCAATTCAATCCAGGTCAAGCACATTGGATTACCGTCAAAAGAATCCTGAGATATATGAAGGGAAGTACCAACTATGTGTTGACTTATCAAGAAAGTGAACTACACCTTGAAGGCTATACTAATGCTAACTGGAGAGAAGATTTAAAGGGAAGGAAATCTACCTCTGGATATATGTTCTTACTGAATAATGGCGCTATATCTTGGAGTAGTAAAAAGCAACAGTGTGTAGCCTTATCGACAATGGAAGCTGAGTTTGTGGCTCTATTAGCAGCAGCACAAGAATCTGTTTGGCTTGAAAGATTTTTGGATCACGTAGGTGTTGCTCAGAATGCTGCAAACCTAGTATTGGTCTATTGTGAGAGCCAAGCAGCAATAGCGAACGCTAAAGATCCCAAGTGCTATGGAAAGACCAAACATATAGATATCAAGTATAACTATATTAAGGACATGGTTGTATAAAAGGAAGTGAACGTGCAGTACATATCTACACAAAGGATGATAGCAGATCCTATGACGAAGCCGATTCCTAGAGAAGTTTTCCATGGTCATGTGAGATCTTTAGGATTGTGTAGAATATGATTTACTGAATTTTGTAATTTTCCCTGAATGTTCACTATTAATGAAGTTTGTTATTATCAATGCCTATGAGTTTATATGACACTTATGAATATCAATGCTAAGTGCATTGTATTGAAAATGTATGTCGAACAGATGAGAGATTAGCCTACTCACATGGGTAATCGCCTCTACTTACGGTGTGATGAATAGAGATGAGACAGTTTTAAGCTTATTATATAGGTGATAATTGAGAGCTCAAACTTGAAACATGGATGTCGCCTTAACAGAATGTTAAGATGAGAAAATATAATTTATTATGTCCGAAAGTGAAATGACCAACATATTTCATTTTACCTGTTTTTAATGCTAGATGTGAGTTCTGATAGATGCTTATAAATAGAGTAGATTTGTGAACTTAAGTTAGATAATGGGTATGTTTGAACTATCATCTATACGGTATTGAGAGTAAAGATATACGCTCTATGGGAAAGGAGATAATACCGTATTATGTATTTCATATTAGGTATGCATGAGACGACCGATAAGAGTTGGCAAAAGTTATGATCTCAACCTTTTATGCCGTGTGAGACTCTTGAGGAAAATAGTTTCTCAATTAAGTGTCCTCACAACTCTTACTTATTCTCAAAATTTCTATTCAATGTTTGCTATCTTAGAGCATTGTCGATGATCATGATAATTCGATCTAACGAGGTATTTCTAGAAAAGGAAGCTGGATTGAAATGGAGAGGTTTAAGGAAAGAGAAAGATCAGTTGTTTATGATGTCACGTTTTATTTTTGTATTCACAGGTCGACCAATTATGATTTTGAGTAAATCATAGTTGTGAATACAATATACGAGATGCTAAAAAAGATCAAGAGAGATACAAATATGACTGATTGATCTAGGGAACTGCATACTGATTTTACTCTAGATAAATATACCAAATTTGAGCTATTATATATTCTTAACAGATGTATAACAATGAGCTCTCGAAGTATGCTGGTCGCATAAATTATTTGCCAATATGAACTTTACAAAGAAGAGAGTTGTGTTTAGCCCATCGTGGGCAAGTGGGAGATGAAAGACATAATGGGTGAGCCACCTAAGATGGGCTAAACCCAGCCCATGAACCACAAGGCCCATAAGGTGGTTATTTGCCTTTTACCATAAATAGTTGACTCCCGAAGGAAAACAAATGTGATTTTTCATATACACAAATAAGACACATCTTCGAAAAAACATCTTCTCCGGTTTTCCTTCTAAACACTAGTGGGTACTAAAGATAATCGAGGATCGCTCTCAAGTATGCAAAGTGGTATTTAATCTATGGAAATTCCGGGTATGTTCGTTATATGATATGCCTGTACGATCAGTGATACAAGTTGATGATTATTGGACATGTTTTCCGCGTTATACGAATGTGTTTCGGATATGTTGATTGAGGAATGTATTTCCCAACAAGAGCTCTATACCTATCATGGTATAACATCTTATTCAGTGAAAAAGGACACCAAGAACAACATGGGAGCATTGCAAGAAGCGCTCAAAAAAAATTCCCAGAGAAAAAGCTCCGGTAGCGAGCGACACACGTCAACTCCGCGAAATCTCCCGACCTCCAAGGTGTCCCAGCGACCAGCGGCTATTCATCACGTTCCCATGTCCCTGGCCGTGTCCAGCCATCGCGGTGAGGCGTCCAGCATCTCCGGCGAGGCACCCAGTGTCCCGGGCGAGGAGTCCAGCAGCACCGGCAGCCACGTCAGCTTTAAGCGGCGCCAGCTCGGTGATTCCTGAGGCACTCCAGTGATCCACGGACGCTCGACCACTTCCCAGTAGCTGGCCTTGATGTCCCTAGATGCCTTTGAGTAGTTCAGCAGCTTCAACAACTGATCGCCTGCGCTTATCCATCACCCGAACACCTCCCGGCGTCAAACTCCGCTCGGTGGCTCGTCAGGCGAGTGCCAGTAGTCCCGGTGGTTCCAACAGGTCTTCCGCTGTGCCAGGCCACTTCCCTGGTACATGGAGATCCCCCTTGCATCGTCTACAGTCGCTTTCTGCCGCTGAACAGCCGTCGCTCGTCACCGATCATGGAGAAATCCCTTCGGCGACACGTCTTTGCACTGAAGTTTCATCAAGCTCGCTGGTCGTCCTTGCCCTCGCCGAGATATCCTTTTGGTGTCCTTGGTCAACCCTAATTAAGGTAGGTTCAAGGTTTGCATGATTTATGTGATAGTTTAATTTTATAATATAGTTCGAATGCATATTTTATGTTAGTGAAACCAGAACTTCTCATGTCCAACAGCTTAGACGTGTAATACCATGCACATTTTCGAAAGCGAGCTCAACATCAGTTCACACAGCGAGCTCGCACATGAACAGCAAACAATAAAGGCACATGACCAGCATTTGACACACCCAAGCACACATAAACAGCGAGCAACACAACATGCCTATACGTGCAAATTTGTTCGCATTTCAATCAACTATATCCAGGAAACGCAGTAAGACACAACCAACCCAACTTCAATTGGACATCAAAACGTTTGTAGACAGAATGCGGTGGGAACTAACTATCTACGGTTGAGTTGGGCATTCTGTCGAACAGATTGTGAGCAAGCGGTATGAAACACTCGGTAAACAGAATAGCTTACAATTTGGAGAACAACCACATGATGGAGTCTCAGCGAATCAACCGTATCCTACCTTGGGGGAGATCCGAATGGTTACCTGCTAATAGATGAAGATCATGGAAGGACTCCGAGAACCTCAGGAAGATGACGCTCAGCGATGACAAAATTCCACGACTGAAACACTCTTACGGAGATATTCGGCTGCGATTGGCTCCGACCGGGGTGAAACGGAGAAGACTTGATTGAATGTTGCGAAATCTAATCGGATCATTTTTATTAGATGTTGTTATCGATTCGCCGGCAAAAATTCAGGTGTCGACATGATGAAGTCATGTCGACACCTGAATTAGCAAATGAAGTCATTGCTATATGCTCTTCATATTTGGTAAATTATTTTCTATGGGCTAGGTGATTACTACGTTCAACTTTTTCTTATCCCTACCGGCGCTTCAAAAGTGGTTCTGTGCCAACTCGAAATATTGGTGCAGCATTACCTCGAGGAGAGTGGCAAACAGCGCAACTGTCGACGGAACTTTAAGGCGAATGCCCCGTCATCTGGTTGATGAAAGGGCTGTAGTAAACTTTTAATCTGTGATTGCTCATGCAGTTGTTCTTGCCGTGCCGACTGCTCGTTTGTTCAATTCCTTTTCTCCAGGTTGGCAATTATTATGTTGGTAGCTTTGCACCCTTTTGTTTAAAGATGATGATGCTGCACGATCTACTTTCTGACCTTTTTACAGCTACAGTCCTTGAAGAAGCTTCCTGGAGACTATGAGAATGATGCATGAACTAAGCAGTTACTGCAACATATGTTGCTCCGTCTGAGCTCGTCTGGCGGCTGCTCACAAAATAAAAGGACTTGCTCTACTTGGACGCCTTCATTTTGTACCGATCTTAGGATTTCGATTTTCATCTTTACTTGAGCTCACTTTATTGAGCTCATGTGTCAGTTGTCGCTGTTCGACGCTCGAAGAATCTTTTCCAGTGTTTTTCGTCGTCAAACAGTCTGTTTATGTAACTTCGCATCCATTTTCATGGTCATCCTTGACGATCATTACAATTAGGGTCATTGCATCTTCTGACTTCCTCTCAAAACATGTAAATACATGCATTCAAGAAAGCAACATCATATGGTTGTGCTAGAGGGACCCAATATTTCTAGCCGGGGTTTCTTATTTTTGGTGTTCACTTCAGTTGCGAACAGGAGTTGCTCCTCAGGTTGTACATAGTGCAAGGTTGCAGATGTATGGTATGCTAGGTACCGCATCAAAAAGACATGTTGAGGTTTTCTTTTGGTATCCTTTGGTTCAGACCAATAATTTTGCTCTGTTTTTCACCCCGTGGCAGGATCAGACCAAGTTGTGGTGGGGAACATTTTACATCTCCAAGAACATGATGACGAGAATGTGGCAGAAGAAGTTGTTTCAGCATGTGGAAACGATGACTCCTCCAATGCCAATGGTTGCACCCATTGGGATGAGACATCTGAAATGGAATTTTCTGGTGGAATGTCATCCTTTTGTTAAGGTCAGAGCTAAGTTATTTGCCGTTCATGACTATCTGCCGATACACAGCCTTTCTAATATCCCATAAAGCAAGGAACCTTTCTAGGGATGAGCATTGGCAAATATTTTTTGCGATGCTTCTGTGCATAGAATTTTCTTTTAAATAATTGAAAGGAGTGGTATAAAAGGAATTAAGGGGTCGCCAACCCCCATGCAGAAGTCAATCAGGTAACTGACTTGTGTAAAATCAAATGCACCTGCATCTAACATGCTCACTCTTTTTCGGTTTTGGCCATTGTTGCCACTACTGACAAGATGCTGAAATATGTAGCTGACCGCAAGATAGAAGATTTAGAATGATGATGGCTCCTGAATTTTTTACAGGCTTTGAATTCAGAGGATATTGCTTTTGGGAGATATTCAGTCGATGATATTGTCCTGATTTGTGTAGTCCAACTTGCATTGTGAGTTCTAAGGCATGAAAGAAGTAGAATACTCTGACTTATGTCCTATTCTGTGGCAGTTCAAGAGTAATATACCCAAATAATGATGTTGCAGACATTTATCATGATTTGGCAAAGAAGGTCAGGTGCCTCTTGGGAATTCAACAAGCATCATTCAATGCATCTCGTTTGCATCCTGTTATTTGTGGCATTTAAGAGCGAATTTTCAAAATTCGAGGGACCCAAGGACTTGCAGCTTACACCCACCCCCCAACACAGACTTGATAAAAGATGCATAATGGCAATCCCTAGCATTGGAGATAGTGGTGAAGTTACCATGTGATCACTCAGACCACAAGTTTACATTGGTGGAAGTGTTTTTGGCTAATGATAGAACACTACATATGTAAAGACAGAGTTCCCCCTGTTCCGCTAGAATTTCCGAAACATGTTTAGGATGCTTGTGTGATCCAGTCAGATATGATAATGGCCCTTTTAGCTCAAGTGGACTAAGGAGACCTAAAGTTATGCCAAAAATTAAACTGCGTGATGATTGCTCATATTTATTTTTCTGCAAGAAAGAATTTTTTCTAATAGTGGGAGAAGGATACTTGTAAAGAGAACTTGGCTTGGGACGATAAGCGTAAAGTTTCTTCTACATTTCTGGATACTCTCCAACCTTTGTTTGTTCTGTTTCTGAGCCTCACTCAAACGATGTATCCCACAGTTCTCCCATCAGCTTGACAGAGAGCGTACCCAATGTCAAGTAAATTTCTCTCGTTCCTAATTTATTGGCTAAACCTCTTAATACTTCCCCTCTTAAGGTCTTCCGCACTACCTACAACATATCCCATTAAGAGCAGTTTCTGTTCACTTGGCTACACATTAGTCCAGTTTATTTTGGTATGTCATAGGGAATTCTCTATAACAAGTATGACAGGAGGTTACAGGCGGGTTTTTCAGAAACCAATGGACTATGAATGGTGTGATCTGGCTTTTCCTGTTATTTTCTGCCCCCATCTTTCTCAAATATCTTGTTAGCCGGATATAAAAATTCTGAGATTGTTCCTCTCAGCAACATTGTTTTCTGCTGGCACAGGGAGATGCTCAGATACAGTGATTATGGTGTACCGCTGGCCGAGAGTGATTTAGACAAATTTACCAAATTCAAGCCTCTCAGGGTAGCTGAAGGGAAGGACGTTGTCAGTGGAAACGAAGACAATAATCTATCAAATTCTGTGAACCCGTCTTGTGAGAACGGTGTGAATGCTTCAGTAAGCGCTGGTGAAGCTAGTATCTCTGACAAAGATGAAATCTATTGTGGTCGTGAGCTATTTTAGCCTATTTGTTAGGCATTTTTATTATATAGATTTCTTCCTAGTATAGAATCTTTCCTATTGTATATCTCCTAATTAGGGTTGTCATATGTCCTATATATATAACAGGATTGAGCATTGTAAATGTACAGAAAAAAAATATTCATTGAATACAACAAGGAGAGTCTTTTTCTACATGGTATCAGAGTCCTAGGGTTTGATCCTTGGGGTACTGTACGTCAATCATCGACTACGGCGGTCCCGCTATTGCGCCGTCCGACGTGCGTCTTACCCAATCTTCTTCATCGCAATTCAGTTTGCGAGCCGATCTCATGGCCGACGAACATCCGATTGTTGCAACCGACCTGCGTACGCTAGTGCCTCGCACGCCATCTCCGCGCACCGACCGCCGCGATGAAGCAGCCTCTTCACCCAAAGAGGCCGCGCCGCCGCGTTGAACCTCCCGTTGCACCGATTGTCAAGCTTGATGGCAAAAATTATGGCGTATGGTCCCAGGTTGTTGAGATGTATGTCTCGGGCAAAGACAAATTGGGCTATTTGAATGGTGATTCTCCTGAGCCCCCTTCTACTGATCCGTTTTTTAGACAATGGAAGATCGATGATTCTACGGTGAAAGGTTGGCTTATCAATTCTATAGACCCAGCCTTGATACCAAACTTTATTCGGTTTCCTACTGCCGGAGCCGTATGGGATGCTGTGGCAATGACCTTTTTTGATGGATCTGACACCTCCCAAATCTATGATGTTAAGAGGCAGGTTTCTCGATTGAAGCAAGGCGGTGGACCCATTGAGAAATATTACAATGATCTTCAAGGGTTCTGGCGTGAGATTGATTTCCGCCGTCCTAATCCTATACAATGTCCGGCCGATATTCTGAGGTACAATGCCATTGTCCATGAAGATCGAGTTTATACTTTTTTTGATGGTCTCAATGACCGCCTGGATAATGTTCGTGCTGATGTTATGAAGATGGATCCATTTCCCACTATTGAGCAAGCTTATGCCCGAGTCAGGCAAGAGGATATGCGCCAATCTGTCATGCTCTCCACTCCTGTCGAGGTCACCTCTGGTTCCGCCATGGTGTCACAGCGGGGCAAGGGTGATCAGTTAGTGCTTTCTGCCCGGGGACCTCGCCCTAAACCTGGTATGCCAATTCAATCCGAGGGATGCTCTCACTGTGGGAATCCTAAACATACAGCAGCATCTTGTGTTTAAACTGCATGGTTATCCGGACCAGTGGGATGATTTTCAGACCAAGAAGAAAAAACCAGGCTCCCAAAAGGGGCAGAATGGAGGTCAAGCCTCCTTAGTGACTAGCGGCTTGTCATAATTCCCATGGAGCTGAATCGGGGCGGAATGGAGGGCAAGCCTCCTTAGTGACTAGCGGCTTGTCATTAATTCCCATGGAGCCTGAATATGCTAATGCCGAATCTCTTGAAGGTAATTGTGGGTTTGTCTTTGCTAATGGACATGGTGATGGTCATCATGGGTGGATAATTGATTCTGGTGCTACAGATCATATGACTCCGGAATCTGGTGACCTTCTTACATCTACTACACCACGTCGAGATCGTATTTACAATGCTAATGGACATAGCTTTCTGTGGAGGTCTTGGGCGTGTTGCATCACGCCTTCTCTCTCTCTATCTCATACCTTGCTTGTTCCTTCATTGTCTAATCGTCTGTTATCAGTTGGACAGCTTACTAATGAGTTGAACTGTGTTGTGCTTATGTACCCTGATTTTTGCCTGTTTCAGGACATTCTCACGAAGGAGATTATTGGGCGTGGTACAAAGAGGGAGGGGCTGTATTTCGTGGATGAAATTACTTCTGGACGGACCTATCATTCTCGTGGACAGTTAGCTCAAGAGAAGGAACTTTGGTTATGGCACCGTTGGTTAGGTCACCCATCCTTTGGGTATTTACGGCATTTGTTTCCCAAGTTATTTCATGGTCTATCGAACTCTAATTTTCAGTGTGATACATGTATTTTGGCAAAGAGCCATCGCACTTGTTTTCCTCCCAGTTTGAATATAAGTTCTACTCCTTTTTTCCTTAATTCATTCTGATGTATGGGGTGCGTCTCCTATTACTACTGTATCTGGGTTTCGATGGTTTATCATCTTTGTTGATGGTTGCACACGTATGACTTGGCTATATTTGATGAAACATAAGAATGAGGCTGAAGCTATCTTTCGAACTTTCCACCGTATGATTCAGACTCAGTTTGGGGCCAAACTTCAGGTTCTCAGGTCTGATAATGGTGGCGAATACTTAAGTAAACCTCTTGCAGCTTATTTTCAAGAACATGGTTTGATACATGAAACTTCTTGCCTTCAGACTCCTCAGCAGAATAGTGTTGCTGAGCGCAAGAATCGTCATCTTCTTGAAACCACTCGAGCACTCTTGGAGGGTAGCCATGTTCACCATTGTTTTTGGGATTCTGCCATAGTCACAGCTACTTATTTGTTGAATCGCATGCCTTCCCGCATTCTGAGCTATCGCACGCCAATGCAAGCACTTGCTGCCCATGTGTCTCTTCCTTCGGTTCTTACATTGCCTCCTAAGGTGTTTGGGTGTGTCGCTTATGTCCATCTTCACAAAAATCAGCGGACCAAACTTGACCCTTGTGCAGTCAAATGTGTGTTTCTTGGTTATGGCCCTTCTCAGAAAGGGTATCGGTGTTATGATCTTGCCAAGAAGCGCACGTATGTCACCATGGATGTAACATTTATCGAGACGGAGTCCTATTTTCCACTAGTTGTAGAACTAGACATTGGTGGGAGGTAGGAATTGCAGGAGCGACGGATGGGTGCGCACGGCCACGTGATTATGAGGCTGCTGAGGCTGAAGATTTTGAGCTACTGCCGCATGATTCTGAGGCTGCACGACCAGACAACACTGAATTACTACATGGGTCCAAACAGGTGTCAACAGATGCACAGCCGCAACAGCCCTCCTTGTCTTTGCCCTCTTCGCCCTCTTCAATACCACTCCAAGCTCCTGAGAATATACCTGAGGTAAGTACTTCTACTGTACTTGATTCTTTTGAAGATACTGATATGCTTACTGGTTATAAGCTACCCGATAGGCATAATAGGAGTAAACCACCGAATCGATATTCTCCAGATGTAGAGGACCGCCGGTCTCGATACCCTATTGCAGACTATGTGTCTGCCAAGAGGCTATCCACACCACTACAAGCCTTTGTGTTTACGATTTCCTCAGTTCAAGTTCCAAACAGGGTTGAAGAAGCCATGAAGGATCCGAAATGGCTTCAAGCGATGGAGGCAGAGATGGAGGCGTTGGAGAAAAATCGAACTTGGAAACTTGTGGAACTACCAAAGGATAAAAAGCCGGTTGGATGTAGGTGGGTGTTCACAGTCAAACATAAGGCAGACGGCACTATTGAGAGGTATAAGGCGCAACTGGTAGCTAAAGGGTATACACAGACTTATGGGGTGGATTATCACGAAACATTCTCTCCAGTTGTAAAGTTAGACACTATAAGAGTATTGTTATCTCTGGCTGCAAACTTGGACTGGCCCTTGCATCAATTTGATGTGAAGAATGCATTTCTACATGGAGATTTAGAGGAGGAGATTTATATGGAGCTTCCACCTGGATACAAATGCGCAGATAAGCCGAACATGGTTTGTAACCTGGAAAGATCATTGTATGGATTGAAGCAGTCCCCTCGTGCTTTAGCTCAGCTATGAAAGGGTATGGATACTCCCAAAGTAACTCAGATCATACTTTGTTCTTAAAAGGTGCTCAAGGAAGAATGACAGCTCTTATCATATATGTAGACGACATGATTATTACAGGCAATGATAGTGCAGAGATTATGAGACTACGGGAATTATTATCTAGGGAGTTTGAGATGAAGAACTTGGGAGGTCTGAAATATTTCCTGGGAATCGAGGTTGCTAGGTCGAAGGAAGGGATTTACTTGTCTCAGCGGAAGTATGTTCTTGATCTTTTGACCGAAGTTAGCATGCTAGATTGCAAGCCTGCAGACACTCCTATGGTACAAAACTGTAAGCTTGGAGAGTACCCTGATTAGACGCCTACTAATAAAGAGAGGCAAAAGGACACTATTGGTGCCATAACTTGTGTACGGAGATCACTTTGGTGCCATAACTTTTTTTCGGATCACTTTGGTGCCAAAATAGGAGAAAAAAGATCACTTTAGTGACTCCGGCCAAAAAAAGAGCCACGTCAGATTTCCGGCGAGCCATGTCAGCATCGAAAATTAATAAAAAAGAGCCACGTCAGATTTCCGGCGGCCATGTCAGCATTGACACTAAAGTGATCGTTTTGCAAAAAAGTTGGCACCAAAGTGATCCAAAAAAAAGTTATGACACCAAAGTGATCTCCGTACACAAGTTATGGCACTTGTGGTGTACTTTTGCCAATAAAGAGAAATACCAAAGGTTAGTAGGTCGATTAATTTACTTATCACATACACGTCCTGATATTGCTCATGCAGTAAGTGTGGTGAGTCAGTTCATGCATGCACCTAGTGAGGATCATATGAGTGCTGTGTGGCGCATCATTCGATATTTGAAGTCAACCCCAGGAAAGGGGTTGCTATTTGCAAAGAATGGCCACCTTGAAATAGAAGGTTACACAGATGCAGATTGGGCTGGAAGTGTGACAGACAGGAGGTCTACATCAGGGTATCTTACATTTGTGGGAGGCAACCTTGTTACATGGAGAAGTAAGAAACAAAAGGTTGTAGCTCGGTCTAGTGCAGAAGCTGAATTCAGAGGTGTAGCAAAGGGGTTATGCGAACTTCTATGGCTTCGGAAGCTGCTAACTGAGCTCGGGTATCCACCAGGTTTGGAAATCAAATTGTTTTGTGATAATAAAGCAGCCATAAACATTGCTCATAATCCAATTCAGCATGATAGAACGAAACATGTGGAGATTGACAGACATTTCATCAAAGAGAATTTGGAGGCAAAAGTGATCCAGTTACTATTTGTCAAGTCTGAAGACCAGTTAGATGATATATTGACAAAGGCTCTGTCAAGTAGAGAATTTCATTGCTCACTTATCAAGTTGGGTATCAAAGACATCTTTGCACCTACTTGAGGGGGAGTGTGGTCGTGAGCTATTTTAGCCTATTTGTTAGGCATTTTTATTATATAGATTTCTTCCTAGTATAGAATCCTTCCTATCGTATATCTCCTAATTAGGGTTGTCATATGTCCTATATATATAACAGGATTGAGCATTGTAAATGTACAGAAAAAAAATATTCATTGAATACAAAAAGGAGAGTCTTTTTCTACATCTATATGGCTCTAAAGTTGGGTTTCACGCTTCCATAATCTTCCTATGCAACAATGGCCATAAGAGAGCTGCTGAAGACATCCATTAAAAGTTCTGCGCTCTCTTTTGGATTACTCAAAGAAGATTTACTAAAGGCGAAACAAGGTGCAGTCCTTATTCCCAGAGATCATGCAGAGATCCAAAGAAACGAGAAAAGTGTGCAAGGTGAAAATAGACAAATATTAGGACAGCCTGGACAGGAGTACAGTAAAGTAATAAAATCACACTTTGACCTCCAGCATCTTGAGAAAGCATTAGTATCCACTTGAGTTTGGAAAAGTTGCCTCCATAATTGCATGGTTTTAGAAGTGAGCTGATTTGATAGAAAGAAACGAGAACAGTATACACATATTTAGGCTCGTTCATCAAATCCTTTCTTGATTTCAGAGTAAAACCTGTCTGAGTTCAACATTTCCTGATAGGGGTCGTCTTTCATGGAAGCTTACGTGAGGCTACTGGAGTGCTTTATTTATAGTCGTTTGCCACTGGTAGGAAACCTAGGCCGTTTATGAGTCTTGCCATTCTAAGACGGCAGGTTTAGCAGCTGTTCTAACTTCTAATGGGCTTCTCCCATCTCCTCAAACAGCCTCATTAGCTAACGTGATAGGATCAAAGTGCATCTGATTCTCTCCGACCTTTTCTTTAGTGTTGAAATTTGATGGTTGAATCATGCAATGCAATAGTCGGAAAGTCTTACCAGAGGCTTTAAATTGTTCATGCTTACAAACTGAAACTTGGGTCATTATGCATTTGCAGGTTGCCTTTCACTAAACATTAAACCATGAACACGCTCATTGTGATTTTTACTGTCACAAATACAATAAAAAAAACATAATTTAAACACAACTCGCAAAATTCCTTACATCTCATACTGGCACATAACTTGTCACAGCTTGCTTCCCAGCAACCGCCGCCGCCGCTCCAATCCCTTGGGCCACCCCAGCTGATCTATTATATAATAGGACTTGAAGAAGTTGCTGGAATTTCAACAGTAAGTTCGCAGGTGATATATGGATTTAGAGGCTAGACGAACGATGCAAAAGTCTTTCGACTCTCATGTTCAGTAGTGCTTAGAGCTTATCTCCAATAGGTTAGAGAATTGGTGTCCTGTTATAAGTGTAAATAACGGAAGGAAAAGGTAATACAGCACCTCATAGTTTAGCTAAGTTTGCTTTAAATTTGGATCCCTTTTTCTTCAAGAGAGATTTGCTCGTTTTAAACTTACGTTCGAGTAGGTTTACATTTGTTCGAAATCATATTAAAGAAAGCAACCATAACATGTTGCTGCCAATCTCAGGCCCTGCTGCGCATTCTCTTAATATTTTGACTCTCCTTTCCCAGGTCAAGACAGTGTCTTTCCCTGTAATTAGGACAAAACAAGCTAAGGTTGAAAAATATGAAATAAAAGTTACCTTTCTGGTAAAGCTTCTTTTCTTTTTTCTCTTTATTTTTGAAGAATAAAAAACTGATAGAGAAATGAATGAAGCGGATCCGCATGTACTTAGTAAATGATAAGCTAGATTCCCGACAGGGCAATATTCATAGACCAGGTACTGCTCGCCATCTTCGATGCAGTACCCGAAGAGACAAACTAAATTTGGATGTCGGACCCTTGAAAGACCTTTGACTTCCCGTCTGAGAGAGTCGGATGTGTTGCTCTTGTATATCTGTTTTATGGCTACAACTTGTCCGCTTGGCAAGACGCCTTTGTAGACCCGGCCTACACTTCCACGGCCGAGGCATTTCTTCTCGTTATGGTAGTTAATTGCATTTTTTATCTCTGCCCTTGAGAATCTGTAGAGGCCAGACCACGTGTTCATCTCCTTTAGATGAGCCGATTTAGGAGGTTTGTTCTTCCCAGTCACGTGTTTTATCAGTGCAATGACCAGCATCAGTCTAACAGTAGCAATCAGCATCGCCAATGCCACTTTCACTGCGGAACCTGGTGAAGATACGATTGATTTGTGCAAAAATTATGATGACTCAAGAAGGCAAACTACGAATTATGCAGAGTTGGTGGATGTCTACTTACTTTTGACTTTGATGTAACCTGGTTCTGTTGACAGAAAAGAGGAGAGTCAAGATGAGATCGTGTTGAGACACTGGTAAGCAAATAGAGCTGAATGCATACCCTTAAAGCAACTGGGCAGGTAGGTATGTGTTCAGAATGAAATGAGTATCTTATTTTCCTGAAGGGAAATAGGGGCATAACAGAATAGCACTGTGTGAAGATGTTCTGGTTATTCATTGTTGCAAGACAAATTCCTCGTACAAAATCATTCGTCAATTTTGTAGGTTAGAGCAGTTTTCTTCATACTCCTATTCGTGTTAAGTTATCAAACATTTTTGCAGAATTTAGTTGACATTCGATTTAAAATCAGTGAAATCTTTAGTTACGAGGCAATACAAAGCACAAACTTTGCATGTTCTAGAATTAGTAGTCGTCATTTTTGGCTGTAGTCCTTACCCAGCTTGTCTAGAGCAGGCAGACATCTGTAGAAGTCATCCATCGACGCAAGATCCTCCGCTTTCCAAGAGGCTAGATAAGTAATAACAGCCACCCCACAAATTGCCCTTTCTGTATTATTGTTGTTTGCCTGATAATGATTTAATATGCTCTCCCTTGCGTTCGCTATTGCATTAATGCAATTCTCGCAGACATCATCGAACGAAGTGTTGAAGTTTGTGCAATTACCCTGTGCATCTCTATATGAATCTTGTTCGTTGATAAATGATGGCAAGAAGCTGGAGCACCGGCTGCTTCCCTCGAAGAGATTGTTGAAGCGACATGAATTAGCCGGCGCGCCCAATGGCTGGAGGAAATGGTTGCTACAGTCGCTCCACTGGTCGCTGCTGAGAAAGATGTTGCTCGTGTTATTTGCGTGAAGAGCCAAGGATTGGGACAAAGCCTCGAGGACATTTCCGCAGCAAAGCGTCGTGGGGTAGCTACCCCAGTAAGTGATCTTTTCTTGGTCGCCGACGCATTCGCCGGTCGGTTTATAGGGGAACGAGTTCAGTGGACAGCCTGCAATGCATTAAGGCGTGATGGAGGAAATGGCAAGTACGTCGTGATATATCATGTACTGTGCTTTTCTGTTCTTTTGGGTGTGCATCAAGTATCTCCAAGCAAGTTTTTAGCATCCTTTGTTCTGCATACAACCCTTTTGGTAGTACTGATTTATACGGATTTTTTTTCTACATACTTAGATTCATCGTGCATCGATACGCTTTTCCATTTAAATTGTCCATAAGAGGATTAAATCTCATCATCTAATGAGCTAGCGAATCTTTAAAGGACTTGCATTTTTCTTTCTACTGTCATCAAACTTTGACAGGAACAGATGAACGCGTGATGTGCGTTAGGGGTAAGCAAGATGGACCACCCAAATCGGGACCGGACCGGACCGACCGGTTTGGTCAGGTTCTCGGGAATATCGGTCCGGTTTCCGGTTCCTAAAAGTGGAACCGGTTTCCAAGCGGTCCGGTTCCCGATTCTAGGGTGGGAACCAGACCGGACCGGACCGATAAAATATATATATTTTTCTAATTTTTTCATATATATAATATTTAATATTGATCCCATTGGAACCGATTATTCAATTTTTTAATATATTATATATATTTTTTCAATTTTTTCCATGGCCTTATGATCAAATCAGAACTATAAAAGAAAGAACGGAACAATCGGTTCCCGGTTCAAAAATAATATTTAATATTGGTCCCATTGGAACCGGTTCATGGTCCCAAGACTAACCGGTCAGGTCCTCGGTCCTAGAAACTGGGAACCGGTTCTCCTGGTCCGGTTTCCGGTTCTTGGGTTGAACCGGACCGGATCGGGAACCGCTCACCCCTAATGCATGTCGAGGTTTGGTGACTCGACATGTATTGTGCGATCAATGGTGCTTGTGAATGTTGGAAATACAATGCGAAAACGACAGGATCTTGCAAATTAAGTTAATGCGAAAATACCAGAGAAATAAACAAGGAACGATAAATTTCGGACCGAACCACATAAATTTCTAGTGTCCTTTATCGTTCCTCGTTTATTTCTTTGGTATTTTCACATTGACTTAATTTGCAAGATGATGTCGTTTCTGCATTATATTTCCAACAATTGGTATCAGAGCTTGAGGGTTGGATTTTCTTGATTGTGATTTGAGGCTTTTGCTTGTCTGATTATTAACTGAAAATTCTGCTATTGCAATTATGTCTAGAGCAAAAGTTGAGATTGAGAAGTTTAATGGGAGGAACAACTTTGGGTTATGGAGCGTCAAGATGCGTGCGATATTGACAACCCAAGGTTTGGCCAAGGCATTAGATAGCGAAGATGAGTTGCCCATTATAATGAAAGCGGCTGATAAAGTAGAGCTAATGGAGAAAGCAAAGAGTATAATCATGTTGAATTTATCGGATGAGGTGTTAATAGAGGTGGTTGAGGAGAAGGATGCCGCAGCATTATGGGCAAAATTACAGGCACTATATGTAACGAAAGGTTTGAACAATCGTTTGTACATGTTAAAGAGGATATTTCAATTTCGATATACTGAAGATACGTCGATCAGATCTCACCTAGATGAATTTAATAAACTCATGATGGATTTGAAGAATGTCGGTAAGATACTTGATGATGAAGAGCAGGGCATGATGTTGTTGGCTTCTATACCGGAATCATGAGAGCACTTTACTGATTCACTACTATAAGGGCGTACTACGATTACCTCGGAAGAGATAAAGTCAGCATTGTTCTCTAAAGAGTGGCAGAGAAAGTTACGAGATGACAGTTTAGCGCAGGATGTAGCACGAGGACTAGTGCTTTGAGGTAGAGAACAACATCGAGGGTCCAGTAGCAGCAGAGGTCGAAGTAGGTCAAAGTCACGCAATAGAAAGTCTAAAGGACGCGTGAAATGCTTTGAATGTCACGAAGAGGGGCACATCGGGAGGGATTGTCCGAAGCAGAGAAATAGAGGTAACAAGCAGAATGCTACAAGCAGTGTGGCAAACATTGCTGAGGAGAGCACTAGTGATGCAGAGGCCGTCTTGTGTATGACTACTGGTTCGTTAGGAGACGAATGGGTGCTAAATTTGGGGTGTTCTTATCCTATGACGCCTTATAGGAACTGGTTTACTATTTACCAGATTGTAGATGGTGGTAGAGTTCTGATGGAGAATAATGTAACATGCAATGTTGTGGGGATAGGGACAGTTCGGATTCGGATGCACGATGGGGTGGTGCGCACACTGACAGACATGAGGCATGTACTAGTGCTCAAGAAGAACCTTATTTCTTTTGGGACATTCGATGATATCGGGTGTAAGTACACTGCTAAAGGTGGAGTGATGAAGGTCTCTCAAGGTGCCATGACAGTGATGAAGGAGAAGAAAGTGAGTTCTCTCTATCATCTACTGGGAGAGACTGTAATTGGAACTGCTGCAGTTTCATTAGGTGAGTCAGATTCTGACTTATCTCAGTTATGGCATATGCGTTTGGGGCACATGAGTGAGGCAGGTATGACGATGCTGAGTGATAGGAGGTTGTTGAAGGGTCAGAAGACAAGGAAGCTAGACTTATGCGAGCACTGTATCTTTGGAAAGCAACATCGGATTAAGTTTACTACAGTTATACATTCGACCAAGCGACCGGTTGAGTATATTCTTCAAACATCCGAGGCCCGTCTCCGGTTCCTTCAAAAGGAGGTACTCGATATATGCTGACATTTATCGACGACTACTCGAGAAAGGTATGGGTTTACTTTGTGAAGCACAAATCTGATGTGTTTGATCGATTCAAGAAATTTAAGGCATTGATTGAGAAGCAGTCAGATAAACAAATCAAGTGCTTGAGAACCGATAACCGCATGGAGTTCTGTGGTAAAGATTTTACCGATTTCTACGAGAAAGAAGGGATTGTGAGACACCGTACAGTGCCCAAGACACCACAACAGAATGGCGTTGCAGAACGGAAGAACATAACTTTACTAGAACGAGCTCGGAGCGTGCTTTCGCATGCAGGTTTAGACAAGGAATTTTGGGCCGAAGCAGTGAACATGTCATGTTACCTGATAAATCGGTCTTCATCATCTGCTATTGAGTGGAAGACTCCTAAGGAAGTATGGTTGATGAAACCTGTTGATTACTTCGGATTACGAATATTCGGATGTCCTGCGTATGCTCATACAAGTGATAGTAAGCTTGAGCCGAGTGCGAAGAAGTGCATATTTCTGGGTTATGCACATGGGGTGAAAGGCTACCGACTGTGGTGCACTAATCCCAAATCACCTAGTTTTCTAATCAGCAGAGACGTGATCTTCGACGAGACTGCAATGCTTCAAAGGAGGGGTCTTGACACACAATCAGCAGAGCAGACAGATCGTGGTGTCAGTAGTGAGGTGGAGATTTAGGTAGAGACTCCGGAGACCTCAAAGGTAACAAAAGTTGAGACTGCAAATGAGGCCACAGTTCCTGAAGTCGGTGATAATAAACAACCAGCAAAGGTATAGCACACAATAGCCGTAGGTAGACAAAGAAGGCAAATTAAACCATCGATACGTTATGGTTATACAGATATTGCTTATGCATTGACTGTAGGTGACGAGATGGAGACAGATGAGCCTTCATCTTACTCTGAGGCGATGGCTAATTCTAAGTCGTCACAGTGGCTAGGAGCTATAAGTGAAGAGATGGAAACTCTCCATCGAAATCAGACATGGGAGCTAGTCAAAGTACCCAAGAACCAAAAGATTGTTGGAAGTAAGAGGGTCTTTAAACGGAAGGAAGGCATTCCCGATGTCGAGGCAATGAGATATAAGGCGAGACTTGTGGCGAAGGGGTATACACAGCGAGAGGGTATTGACTACAACGAGGTGTTCTCTCCTGTGGTAAGACATACTTCTATTCGTGTTTTACTTGCCTTAATTGCTGCACAGGATCTCGAACAGGAGCAACTAGATATGAAAACAGCTTTTCTTCACGGTGAGTTGGAGGAGCAGATTTACATGAGGCAGCCAGAGAGATTTGCTATTCCGAGTAAGGAAGATCATGTTTGCTTATTGAAGAAATCTTTGTATGGGCTGAAACAGTCTCCTAGGCAGTGGTATAAGCGCTTTGATTCTTTCATGGCTAGTCAAGACTATTCTAAAAGTTATATGGATAGCTATGTTTATTTTAGGAGATTGGAGGATGGGTCTTTGATATATCTATTATTATATGTTGATGACATGCTAATAGAAACTAAGAATATGTCTAATATTAATGTGCTGAAGAGGCAATTGAGTGCTGAATTTGAGATTAAAGATTTAGGTGTTGCAAAGAAAATATTGGGTATGGAGATTTTGTGTGATAGAACTGCAGGAATTTTACGTCTTTCTCAGAAGAAATATATTGGGGGGAAGAACAGCAGAAGTGCCAAAAGTTGTGTACGGAGCTCACTTTGGTGCCAAAAGTTTCATTTGGATCACTTAAGTGCCAAATCGGAGGAAAAATTATCACTTTGGTGCCAACGGCGAGAGATTCCGGCCAAATTAATACGTGGCATTTATAATTTAATTTTTAATCTTAGTTGGATTTTTTTTTAAAAAAAATTAGTCTACGTGGCATTTCCACGTATATATTTCGATTTTTTAAATACTTTTCTGAATTTTTTTCTTTTTTTTCTTCTTTTCTTTTTTTCTTTTCTTTCTTCTCCCTTTGGTCACCGCCGGTGGCCGGCCTCCCGGCCACCGGCCGCCCTGGCCTCGCCCGGACGAGGCCGCCGCCGCCCGCCACAGGCGAGGCTCGGCCGGGCCTCGCCTGTGGTGGGCGGCGGCAGCCTCATCCAGGCGAGGCCAGGCGGCCGATGGCCGGCCTCCGGCCACCAGCGGTGACCAAAGGGAGAAGAAAGAAAAGAAAAAAAGAAAAGAAGGAAAAAAGAAAGAAAAGAAAAAAAAAAGGAAAAAAGAAAAAAATATATTTAAAATAAAAAATGCTGACTGCGCATGCTGACTGTATCTCCAGCGAGCCACATCGGCTTTAGAAATTAATAAAAAAATACCACGTCGGATTTCCGGCCAAACTGACCGGAGTTGGCACTTAAGTGATCATTTTTCAAAATTTTTGGCACTTAAATGATCCAAATGAAACTTTTGGCACCAAAGTGAGCTCCGTACACAATTTTTGGCACTTCTGCTGTTCTTCCCCCAATATATTGAGAAGATTGTTACACTATTTAATATGCAGTC